GCAAAATTAATTCAAAATGGGTAAAGACCTAATTATAATAGGAAAAACTATAAAATTCTTATAAAAGACGTTGTGACTGCTGATTATAAAGTTTTGGAGACATGACATCTAAAGCACCAACACCAAATTAAAAATAAAAATTAGACTTTATCAAAGTTTAAGATGTGTGCTTTAAAGGACACTATTACTATTTTAAAAATGAAAACACAATCCACAGAATGGAAGACAATGTTTACAAGTCAAATATCTGATAAGAGTCTAATATCCAAAATGTATTAAAAAATCTTTCAACTCAATAATAAAAATACAACCCAGTTAAAAATGGGCAAAGAACTTGCATAAGCATGTCTCCAAAGAAGGCATGCAGATGGCCAGCCAGCACTGAGTTCAATGGCATCAGCATGAAGGAAATGCAGATCAAACCATCATGCCAGCCCCTTCCACACAGCCCTCACTGGGACTCTGGTCCGGGGTGCCCATCACAGCCAGAGAGTGGGAACTGCCTACATACCCACCACTGGTGGGCACTCCAGTTGTGTATTCACACGTGGGATCCCACTCAGCCACAGAAAGGAATGAAGGCCCGAGACAACCTATAGGACGAACAGCCCTGGAAATCACTACACCGTGAACGAAGCCAGAGACAAAATGCCACACGGTGCGCCAGTCCACTGTATGCAACGTCCAGAACCGGCAAATCCATGGCGACAGAAAGCAGACTGGTGGCTTAAAGGGGCTGGAATGTGGTCACGTATGGGTCTGGCATTTCTTGTGGAACGATGACACGTAAGATTACACATTGCTCATGGTCGCACAAACTTGGTAACACTCTAAATGACTGCACTGTGTGCTTTACGGGAGGGGGGAGGGGTTAAGGCCTGTGACTTCACCCCAGTAAGAAAATATACAGAAAGTTTTTACTTGCTCTACCTTATGTGGCTACTGCAAAATATTATGAATCCAAAAATCTTTATGATATATAGATCTCCTTTGTAAAAGCTTTCGTATATTTGAACTATATACATTTAATAATATGGAAATTATTATATAATAACAGAAACCACTATAGGAAACTTTAATTACAAAACTGTTAGAAATAACTATTTTTTGCACATGTTAGCAGTTATACAATTAGACTTGGTGAATCTGACCCCTGGAAACAACTGTAATCCCCGCTGTCCTAGAAGGAAGGGGCCATAGGAGACTAGGATCATGGAATAACATTAGCCTTCTGGACAAGAATGATAAAATTTAAACAAATGCTAATTACTTTCTAAAAATTACTGAATACTTATCTATTAATACCTGGATAATTTGGTGATCCCACTATTTTCAGTGAATCTTGGGTCAAACTAAAACTTCTTGGTAATCGAATCAAATATCCAACTATCAAAAAAAAGAAAAAAAAAGAAATAAGCAACAATATGCCTCCTGAGAAATTTCAAGATATTCAAATAGCACATTATCACAGTCCTAGAGGCCGGGTGCACATTGTGTGTGCACTGGGGGTCTTCCAGCCCGGCCTGTGCCCTCTCGCAGGCCAGGAGCCCTCGGGGGATGGTGGGGAGTGGGCCTAAACTGCAGACTGGCCTCCCTCTGTGGGAGGGACAGCTGATAGGGGACAGCGCCGGCCTGCTAGTGGGCAGCCCCTCCTCCCATTACTCCACTGTCACCGCCCTGATCGCTGTCCCCTCCCTCTGCCCACTGCCTTGTCTGGCCTGGTGCCGCCCCCTCACCAGCCCTGCCTCCCAACTATTGGTTGTTATGCTGTTTTGTCGATTTGCATATTAGGCTTTCATTATATAGGAAGATACTTGATCTTGGTTGAAGGGGCAAGCCATAAGCCAAAGTCCCCTGACACCGGGCATCCATGTTTCAACTCCTCTCCCCTTACCTGCCCCGATGAAATAAATCAGTCTGCTGCTGCCTCTATCATATCTTGCGTCCAGCTTTATTGAATCCACTTAGAAACTTTGCTCATTTGTAAAGTCCAACTCTGGCATCCTTGAGGGCCCAGATCACCTGTCCCCTCCTCCAAACCTTCTGTCTGTCCCTTCTAACCTTCCACAGTACATCATCAGCACCCTTCTGATAACACCCGCTCCACGTGTATTGCCATTCTGTGTGCACCTACAGAATTTTCCTTACTAGATCACAAGCTCCATAGCTAGTATGATCAGTATTTATGTCAACTTATCAAGAATCAGTATGAAGTACTGAACCTTGCACTTAGTAAATATTAAATAACGATTGTTAAATATAACATATCCTGATATCCTCTAGTCATTGTTTTTTTTTTTTGTTTGTTTGTTTTTTTAATATATTTTATTGATTTTGTACAGAGAGGAAGGGAGAGAGATAGAGAGTTAGGAACATCAATGAGAGAGAGTCATCGATCAGCTGCCTCTTGCACACCCCCTACTGGGGATCTGCCCGCAACCAAGGTACATGCCCTTGACCAGAATCGAACCTGGGACCCTTCAGTCCCCAAGCCAACGCTCTATCCATTGAGCCAAACCGGTCTTGGCGTGATATCCTCTAGTCATTGTTGAATGAGCAAATGTGATGGACATAATTGCGTGCACAGAACTAGTGGGAGGGGCAGTATAAAAAATGCTATAAAGCATTTCCCAAGTTACCTTTAATAGAAAGGACATAAGGGGAAAAAAGAATATGGTTCTCAACGTCAGAGGACCCGAGTTTCAATCCTAACGGCCACTGTTTGGACTTAGGAAAGTCACTTCACACTCTTGGAGTTTCAGACTTCTGTTCTGCAAAATGAGGCCCAATTCCAGACTTAAGGAGCTGTTGCAGGACTTGAATGGCCTGTTGCGTCCGCCATAAAAAGCTGCATCAACATCGATCTCTACTGTTCACAGTGTGGAGGGTGACATGGCCTGCTGACTGCACTTTGACCCCTCTGGTCTGGCCTTAGTGGATTAAAAGGGGGTGCACCCCCAGTCACCCCTGGAGTAAGACACGGCCAGATCTGTGCAAGCCATGGCGGGAAGTGCCTGCTCCCGGGGAATGAACAGTGAGTGACTGGCTGGTCCCCACCTTCCCTGGGGGGTGGCCCCAGGGTCCTGGTGCCTGGCCTCTGGGGTGCCCATCATCCTCACTCCGTCCCCCCTTCCTCCTCTCACACCGCCTCCCGCCACTGCCCGTCCCTGTGCATGTCCTTGGGGGGCACTTCTCACCTTCTCCCTTATTGGGACAAACATTAGCATTTTGAACAAATCCCTCTCATGCTTGGAGATACCTTTTACTTTTTTTTAAGCCTGAAACCTGAACACAAAAGAACGCAACCAAAGCTTCCTAGTGAGATGGCAACAGTTCAGGCTGACTCCCTGTCTGCTCCTCAGCATCTTGGACAGAATCTGAAACAGGATGGCAAGTGTTGGGGCCGTGTTCCCAGGAACCCCGAGTCCCACCGACAGGTGGCGCTGCAGGACCGCGGACAGCCGCACCCGGGCTTTGGGGGAGCGGGGCCGGGCAGGTCCAGCCCAGCGGGCACACAGGCCCTGAGGCGCAGCCCGGCCGTGGACACGGACACGGACACGGACACGGACATGGCGGACATGGCGTGGGCGCTGGGTGGCCCTTCCTGCACACGCCCCGCAAGCCCTGCCCCCGGCCCTCGGCGGTCACGTGACACAAACGCCCGCCCGGAGCCACGCCCCGGCTCACCTGTGGGGGGCGCCCGCAGTAGGAAGGCCGAGAGCAGGAGGACGACGGCGGCCCTGGAGAGCGGGGCGCCCGAGGCCCGCCGCCGGCCCCGCCGCGCCAGGCCCGGGGCCCAGGCCTCCATCCACACGCCACCTGCCGACCGTGGACTCTGGCAGTCGTTGGCCAGCCCGCGCCCACTCGCCCGCCCACCTTCGAACTGGAATGGAGGCCCCAAGAACAATGGCCAATGGCGGGCCGGAAGTGCTGGTTGCCACTTCCGGTAGGGTGGGGGCGGGGCCGGGCCAACATGGCAGCGTGGCCTCAGTCTGCTGGGCGCGCAGGGGCCTTGGGCACCAGGCCGCCGTGGCGCCAGGAGCACCAGCGACCTTCACCGGTTCCAGAGCTGAGGAAACAGCCGCGGGCCGCTGCCCCGCCTTCCCTGCGTGCATTGCGGGCGGAAGGAAGGCCTTTGCCCGGGCCGCACCGGAAGCACAGGCCGGGAGCCCCTGGACCGGAAGCACAGGCCGGGAGCCCCTGGACCGGAAGCCCAGGCCGGGAGCCCCTGGACCGGAAGCACAGGCCCGGAGCCCCGAGAGTCAGTGTCGGGCAGGAGGATGGCGGGTCTTGGGGACGGGGCGTTAGGGCTGCACTGATGTGTGCGGCTCACTGGGTCATTAATGCAATGGCGCTGGAGATGTGGCAACAAGGACTTCCCCGGAGGAGGCCGAGGGGGAAGGACGGAGGAGCAGCCTGACAGAAAATGGATGTCCGTGCCACACGCGGCCTGGAGGCAGGCCTTTACCGCCGAGTTCAGGAAACGGACACCAGGCCCCTGTGAGCCTAAGGGCATCGAGAGCCACTGCATGTGGGAGAGAAGGATGCCTCTGCTTCCCTGCAGAAGGGTTACTCAGTCGGAACAGAGTCTACAGAAATGCATTCAATTCAGCTGGTGCACATACATTCAAGAACGAAGCTTCCAGCAACGGAAGGCAAAGCGCCTAATGACCATGTGTATTATCACCTTTCATGGGAAGACATGAGTGACCCGGGGGTCAGCGTTCTAGCTGTTGCTAAGCAACAAAGGCTATGTTCTATTTGTTTTTTCTGCCCTGGTTTGTTTCTGACCTATACCCCTTTGGTCGAGAAAAAATACTTACCTTAAAAAGGAAAAAAAAAAAAAAAAACCCACCTTGTCGACATTTAGAAAGTCAAGTCAATACTGTAATGATAAATTAACCAGTTCTCAACTATTGGACATAAATATTTTATTGTTAAAGAGAAAGGAGCCATCAGAAATACCTTATTTACAGTCATCCAATATTCTAAGAAAAGCCATGGAGATACATTCACAGTACACACCTGGAAAGATAAGTATCTCTGAACGGTCCATTCTTTCAGGAACAAAGACTGTTGAGAGTGCAGATTACCCACACTACTATAATCTCTTAAGAAAAATGAACATGCCTTTTGTGAGAGGAATTGAGGACAGACATGACTTTGCTAGAATGGAAAAGAAAGGCAACCCTACTTTTCTTAAATTTCACCCTTATCCCCCTTCATCCTTACCAGACTATCACTTACACTGCCCTTATCCCCCGCCATTTGGGCCAGATTATCCATTATTTCCACTCCGTGATGATGTAACCTTAGGTGATCCCTGTTCAGGGTTCATGAGTCCTGGTGGCGATGCTGAGTTAAAGCCTGGCATTGGCAGAATCATCCCAAGTCTGGTGAGTTTTAGTGACGTGAAACCTCAGCATCGAGTTCCCAGGCCAAGTGCGGGATTTCAAACGACGCTAAAAAGGCAAAAAATTTTATTAGAAGAACTAAAACAAGACAGAAAATGGAATTCGAGGGCAACATCAGATACTTCCATCAGAGCAAGACTTGGAGGTAAATAAAGTGACATTGGCTTTATAATTTTTAAACATTGAAACCAAGGAGAAAGAGCATGGATATAAGATTCATTATTCAGTAGATAGTTTAATATAAAGTTATGAAGAACCAAATAAGAAAATCTTATTTTTAAATTGAAAATTGCAAGGAAAAAGTAAAAATGGTAAGCCTTTCATAAAACTATCTATAAAATAATATTTGGTATTTAAAAGTGGATTCATTAGTATAAGTGACCAACACAAATTACATATCAGGTACTCTATAATAATAAAAAATAATATGCTAATTAGACCGGACAGTTGAACAACCTTCCAGACATCATTCCAGATGACCTTCCGGACGAAGCTGGGGCTATGAGGGCTGAGTCCTTTCCACGAATTTTGTACATCAGGCCTCTAGTTTATTATATAAGTACTAGAGGCCCAGTGCACGGATTCGTGCACCAGTGGGGTCCCTCAAGCCTGGCCTGCAGGGATTGAGCTGAAACCAGCTCTCTGACATCCCCTGAGGGGTTCCAGATTGTGAGAAGGTGCAGGACAAGCTGAAGAACCCTACCAGTACACGATTGGGGCTGGGAAGAGATTCTGGGAGGGGTCCAGGGCATCTCCAGCCTATTTTGCCCAGTTCCGGTCAATCAGACCCCAGCAGCAAGCTAACCTACTGGTCAGAGCATCTGCCCCCTTGTGGTTAGTGCGCATCATAGTGACTGGTTGAATAGCCAGACACTTAGCATATTGGCTTTTATCATATAGGATAGATAACCTAATTGTACCATGAGGCAAATTATATTTGACTTTGATAATTGAGCATGCCTCATTATCTTTCTGGTAAAAGTAAATCTGATGATTATGTAAGAGTTAGGTTACAGGGACTGAAATGGAATGGGAAAGCAGTTGAAGTTAAATTTGGCATCTGATAAGAATAAGAGCTGAGAAGCAACCCCTTCAGAAATAGCTTCACACAGCTCTGGGGACACAATTGGTGAATCTGCTGACAGCCATGCCTTATGTAGGTGCTCACAGGGAGTAAATGTCACCAGCCTGGCCAGCAGTGCTGACAGCTTCAAAGGAAATAGTCCTGTGTGGAAGTGTGTCTGGTAGACAGGAAGTGCAAAGAGATTAACAGTTTCGAGCATGTGGAAAGGAAATGGCCAAACACGGCATCAAGAGATGCTCAGCTTCCTCTAGCACAAGAGGCTGCACCAGCCTCGCACTGCTTCTCCTCTCTACCAGCCTGGACCAGAGGCCCAAGCAGGCAGTGGGGAGGGACAGTGGCAGCAGCATATGATGGAGCAGTGGGGAGTCATGGTTCCTGACACGGCATGGAGAGAAGCCACAAGTAATTGAGACCAGAAAAGGGGTAAGAAAAAAGGGAATAGAAATAAAGCCACAATATTACACTGCCCAGCCATACCCTCCAGGTCCCTGATTTTGAACCAAAAAGAGCAATTTGGGAATGTATACTAATAGCACAAGATAAGAATTGTGCTTTTAATATTACTCCAGTTGTTGACTTAACAGGGGACTTAGGGAAATTCCTGAGTTTGGGATTTTCATATTAAGAGTGTAAATGAGGTTCAACTACCAGTTTTTAAGGAATAATTATTTTACGATCCATTGGAAATACTACTTAAGGAAGAACAGTATTACTAAAAATCAAATACTATCTAAGGTGCAGAATTATCTTAAGTAAGACCATTGGTGAGTTCAGGCCCATCAGACAGCGTGTTGCACTGATTCTGAAGGAGCAACTACTCTGGCCTGTCAGCAAGGCCTGGAGCGCAAGGTTTCGCTAACATTTCCGTGTGTAATAATTTTCATTGTCGAGGAATCTTCGTTAGTGGTCCCATGGAGGGCAAGTGTGCCACTTCTCTTGTAAGCCGAAGCCCCAGCCTCAGGATGGGCTGTTTCTGTAAGTTTTTCTAAGAACTCTTTTCCAACAAATGACAAGTTTAAGAAATAGTTTATTAAAGCTAATTTCCGACTAAAATAGGGTTAACAGAGGTTGTACAAGCATCTCAGAACCAAGCACAAAGTTCATCTAGCATCCATATTGTGCTACGGGCAGCAGTGCAATAGAATTCAGAAGCAAGGCTTTAGGGTCAGACAGTCTGGGCTCATTGCCAGGCACAAAGCTTACTCTCACTATCACCTTGCGCTAGTTACTAATCTCTTTCTGTCCATGTATCCTTATTTGTAAAATAAGTTCACATGCTAGAAAAAATACTTCATTTGATTATAGTGAGGGTCATTTAGTGTAATTCATGTAAACATGTCTGACATTAAGGAAGGAACCAATAAATGTTAGATATTATAAAGTTAAGCAAAGTCTATAGAGTTTTCAGTCACTTTACACTTAAATTGGCAATAATACTCCTTTTCTTATAAAGTGTAAGAAATAATAAGTTAACATGTAAAATACTTAACATAATTTCTGAAATGTGGTAAAGCATTCAGTTAACAGCATTAATTATTATTAGCTATTAACATTTTCAAAGAACAATATAAGGAGTTCAGGGATTGGTTTCAATATAATTTGTCCTAGGCTTTCAATGACTTTGTAGATCCTGGAAATAGTCATTATTTATAAATAAGTACTCTGTTTTTAGCAAACCTAAATACATATGATTCCTAATGCATTCTGATAAGGACATCTTCTCAGAATTAATTGTATTACAGCCCAGTATGCTTTCCAGTGGGTTTTCATAAATACCAAAGCCAAATCATAAAAGATTAGATGGCTGACTTCTTGCCCAATTCCAACCTTGTCTAGACATTTAACTGATGCAGTAGTTCCTTTTTGTTCAAAGTTGGCTTTCTTTCTTATGCACCAGTCAGGTATTCCAAACTTATCCTAAGCATATTCAAACCTTTATTGGTTGGTCTCTTTGTTCTCATTGCAACAGATGACATGTCACCCTTGTCACAGACAAAAAAGAGGTTGCCTATTGCAACCTCTGTGATTTTCTTATCTTCAGCATCCTAATATCTATACCTATATCTATATCTCTATAAAGCCAGCAACCAGAGTGCACTACCATAAGACCTGCACTATGATGCCCATTGCAGCTATCAGACATTTATAAATGCATATAGTTAATTGGTATAAGTACAGCATTGTGTAACCATTACCACAATACATCTCCATGACTGTTTGTAAAACTGAAACTCTTACCCATTAAACCCCAGTTCTCTCCTCCTCCTGACCCTGGAACCCAGAATTTTGCTTTCTGTCTTAATGAATTTGACTCCTTTGAATACATCATATATGTAGAACCATAGAATGTTTGTCTTTCTGTGACTGGCATATTTCACTTAGCATAATGTCATCATGGACAACAATGTCCATGTATTAGCATGTGTCAGAATTTTCCACCCTTTTAAAGCTGAGTACTTTTCCATTTTAGGCATATACTACTTTTTGTATCTATTCATCCATCAATGGACACTTGGGTTGCTTCACCTTTGGGCTATTGCAAACAATGCTGCTGTGTACACACATGTACAAATATTTCTTCAAGAACCTGCTCTCATTTTAAATAAGCACCCAGGAGTGGAATTGCTCAATCCCATAGTTTGTTTGTGTTTTGTTTTGTTTTTGTTTTTCAGGAACTACCACCCTGTTTATCATAGCAGCTGCCACATTTACAATCCCACCAATAGTGCAGAATTCAAACTTCTTGCATTCAAGGAATAAAACCCACTTGGTCATGGTGTGTAATCCTCTTGGTGTGCCCTTAAATTCTCTTCATAGTATTTTGTAGAGGATTTTGCATCAGTGTTTAGTAGGGGATAAGGTCTGGCTTTTGCATCCCTATAATGTCGGCTTCATAGAATAAGTTTGGAAGTGTTCCCTCCTCATTCATTTTTCTTAGAAGAGCCTGGGGAGGACTAGTATTAATTCTTCTTCAAACATGCAGAATTTACCAGTGACACCGTCTGGTCCTGTGTTTTTCTTTGTGGGTAGGTATTTAATTACTGAGTCAGATTCCTTAGAAGTTACAGGTCTGCTCATATTTTCTGATTTTCCATGATTCAGTCTGGGTAGGTTGTGTGGTCCTAGTAATTTGTCCATTTCATCTAGGTTATACAATTTGTTGGTGTACAGTAATTCCATATAGTTATTTTGTTCATAGTAATCCTATACAATCAAAGCCTAATATGCAAATTGTCCCCTTGACCAGGAGTTCAATGGCTCACTGTCATGTGTGCTGACCACCAGGGGTGGTGTGGAACATGGCAGGTATTGGTGATGCACTGTGACCCCTCGCCAGCTACCTGGGGGCTAGGTGATGGGGATGGAGGTGCGATGAGAATGTGGGGTATCCGCTGAGCTCACTCTCACTCCCCTTGCTACCCTCTCCCAGGATGCCAGGCCTTGTGCTCCAGAGAAGCCCCATGCTCAGGTGCTGTGCACCCACAAGGAGCCTGCCCGCACCGCACAGCCTCCTCCGGGTGAGCTGGGCCACAGCCGCTTTACCATAGGTGCTGGTTGGGCTCCCCGTGGGTTTGCACAGGAGCCAGTCTGCGAGGCTGGCTGGGAGAGAATGCACTGCCCACCTGGCTTTTGTGCGGCACAGCTGGGCAGCCTCGGCCTGCAGCATTCAGCCACACTCACCACATCTCTGAGTGGGGACTCAGGCGCCTGTGACTTGAGTGGAGGGGTGCATGGAGGCCTGGGGGACCTGCCCTTCCATGCCAGACACTCGTGCTTGGATCGCCAGCCAGGCATAGACCCCGCCCCTGCACAAGTTTCATGCACCAGGCCTCTGGTTTCTTATAATTATTTTTATTTCTGTAAAATCAGTTGTAATGTTTCCTTATTTGTGATTTTACTTGAGTCTTTTTTCTCTCTTATCAAGCTAGCTAATTGTCAATTTTTTTATCTTTTCAAAGAACCAACTTTTGCTTCCATTAATTTTCTCTATTTTGTATCTATGCTCTAATCTTCATTATTTCCTTCCTTCTGCTCGCTTTGGGTTTAGTTTGTTGTTTTTCTAGCTCCATAAAGTGTAAATGAAGGTTGTTGGTTTGAGAGCTCTCTTCTATAATATCAGGTTTTATACCTATGAATTTCTCTGTCAACGCTACTTTTGCTAAGTCCCATAACTTTTGTTAGGTTGTGTATTTTCATTTGTCTCAATTTCTAATTTCCCAATAATGAGGAATAAATACCAAGCAATTCTACACTATTATAACAATCCTAACATGTAAATTTCAGAGCTATTCTGTTCTCACTGATGAGAAAAATTGTTAGATAATCCACGGAAAAGTTGACTCACAGCACCCATTTGAGCGTCCTCACAGGAGTAGTTCTGGTGGAAGAAGAGGTGTTTGCTGCAGGTCACGGGAAAGCCTGTCGTGTTTGCTTTCAGGCTGGACCAGCGCGGTGAGAGTCACTCCTTCGCAGCCTCGGCATGAACGGAGCTCAGTCACGCACAAGTACATGTTCGACAAGGAAGTAGCCTATAAAGTAAGGTGTCTTACCGGGGTGTGCAGTACAGTGTTCCTAACTCATTTAACTCATTGTCTGTGTTGTTTGTAATTCGAGCCTAAATAGCTATCACTTGTAAAATACACTTACATACCAGGCGCTGTGCAGACATTCACAATCTGTGCATCTGCCATTATCTGTGCCATCGCTACAGCCATACTTTAGGGGAGGACTGGGTTCTCGAGGCCGATAGTGCCCAATCCAAACCCCCCTCACTGGCAAGTGCACCTCCTCCAGTAGCAAGGAGTGATGGACGCCCATGGCTGACAGCCACCAGCTCGGAGGACATGATTCTCAGACTGAAGAAGCATAACAAGTCTGAGAACAGAAGAACGGAGCTCTAGCCTCTCCTAAACAAATTATCTTGAAACTGTAGAAAACCCAATACAGATATCCTGAGTGCAGTCCAAAGTCAGTGAACAATACAGTCCAAAATCAATGAGACGTATTTGTTGTTAAACAATCACATCCATTAATTTAGACCTCTAAACCTGCCTAGAACATTATTCAAACATGAAGATGAGTTAAAAAATAGGGCTAGAGGAAGTTGGCATCCTTGGAAGAATTACTGAACATTGGACTTTAGTGAAGAGAACAGAACCCAGACCCAGGTGGGCAAAACCAAGGAGGACCCAGGAACAAGAGCAGGCAGCGGACGGTACACGTGGTGGTGAGTCTGAGTAACAGGAACCACCACAGACGGTAACAGCAGTGGTTACAACAACAGTTAATTAATTTTGACAAAATAAGAAGGGCCATAGGAAGAGGGTGATATTTCAGAACGAATGTGCTTGCATTGTTAGACAAGACGGAGAAGACTTGTAAATGTTGTAATTTTATGGAATTAAACACTATTTGCCAACATTAAAAATTCAGGAGCTTCCTCATAAAAATGTGACTTTATGTTAACTTTAATATCCATCTTTGTAAGTTTTAACTTAATCATTAGGAGAATATATACAAAGTGTGAATTTTCCAGGTTGTAGAGGAAAGCTGGGAGGCGTGTGCTGGTTGTCCTAAAGATGCTGTCAGATAAGAAAAGTGGAGAAAGGGAAAGGGAGCTGGTGGCTGAGGACACGTCCATCCCCATCACGTCTGGTCTTTTCTGTCCATGCCTTCTAGGACGGAGAGCCACCTTCACAGCCAAGCGAGAAGTGTGATGCAAAGGACATGTTTTATAAGTCCTCAACACAAAAGTAAGAACTTTTTCAAATAGAATTTTGATCAAAAACTTTATTTTATACTTAATAATATAGCCCCCTTGTGTCTACATTATCCTGAATCCTATGAGAAACTCAGAAAATATTAGACCCAGATATTTATTATAGTTATTTGTGTTATTGTTAACATAAACAGGTCAAGGAGGAATCTAAAAAACTCTGTTTACTAAAAAAGGAAAACCAAAACAGAACGGAAATACAGAGAGAGAGAGAGAGAGAGAGAGAGAGAGAGAGAGTGTGTGTGAAAGAGAGAGAGAGAAAGTGAGTGCAGCATCATAGAAAGCAGCAGCAGGGAAAGCTTGACACAGAATTCATTTACTCATTTAAAAAATGCCTTGTGGACCTACTATGTGTCTATTCCCCAAACTGAGATTCCTCAGTGACTAAAGCAAACCTCTCCCATCTCAAAGAGCTGATTCTACAAAGAGGTGGGCAATAAGCAACAAGCACGATAAGTAAATAGCTCCCATCATAGAGAGAAGTCTACAGAAAGATGAAAGGAGATGCTGTCACCTGGCACACAAACAGCAGGGGCTCCAGCAGGGTGCTGAGGGTGCAGGTGGCAGCTGGCCCTGGCTGTGTGGAGGGTAGAGCCAGCACTGCCCAGAGAGGAGATGGTGGGTCTGAAGGAAGAGGAGTCAGGGATGAGCCCTTGGTTTGAGCTGAGCAATTGAGCGTAGTGAACACACCATCACTTCTCATGTGAACACAGATGCAGCAGGTGTGGCGGGAAGCCTCCTGTGTCCGGGTGGACATGCCAAACAGAGATGCTCATTGGACATCCACGTGGCTGTCAGTTAGGCAACGGCACACTGATTGGGTTCTGGGAGAGGCCTGGCTGGGAAACATCTCTAAGTCATGGTGTGCAGATGGGTACGTAAGGCACATGCCTGGGTGAGGGAGGGCCCACGGGGGCGTGCCCTGAGACAGGTGGAGAGCTGGAGTCCAGCCTCTGCGTCATGGCTGCTTTCCACAAACTGCTTGGCATGTGTAAGTGTGTGAGGTCCACTGCGGGGAACAGACGGCCACAGGTGGAGCACCTGGAAGCCTCCCATTTCTGCTGGCACCCTCTGTGCAGAGTCCAGGCACCCCCTGGTTCCATGCTCACGTCCTCAGCCTGGGTCCGGTGTCAGCCACGGCTGTGTCCTCAGCCTCCCGGGTCGCTCAGGCTGGCAGCTCAGGACCCACACGATCTCAGCAGAATTTAGCTCCTCGCAGCCAAGGGACCACAGGGTTGTCTCAGGACACTGTGGTGTGTCTGTGGCGGTTTTGTCTCTTGTTAGGACTCACCAGTTTGGATCAGACCCATTTAGAATCATCTCCCTTTGGATGAACTCAAACTCAACTGATTAGGGACCCTCATTACATGTGCACAATCCCTTTTGCCATATGCAGCTGCCACCACACCCACTTGCTCCGCCCACACCTGAGGGTGATTGTCCTTGGCATATGTAGTGGGGGCAGGAATTTGGGGGGCACCTTAGAATTCTGCCTAGGACAACGTATGATATTGTGGTGCACTATACCAATGGAGCACGTGTTTTTCATAAAGTGCGATCATTCAATACTTTCCTAGAGCTTATGAAAGCATTCCTTGGGACGACATGCTGGCACCAAAACTCGATCCAGAAGAGACAACAGTGGAAAGAGCTGCGGACGTCGTCTCACAGTGCTTCACACAGAAAAGATACGAACGGACCCCAGCATTAACTCAGGTCAGGGCCCAGCGGGTGCAGTGTCTCACTGACTGCTGAGGGAACTCCCAGACTGTGCGCGACAGTAACACGTACTTTATTGCTAAGCATTATGGGAAGGACAAGTAAATCTATACACATATGGGTTGAAAGTGCCATAATCATAGAAGTTATCAATAAGCTCAAGTACTTTAATGTCATCTGTGTTATATTTTAGATGTTTTGTTTTAGACTGCCCCTTTCTCAGAAGTCATTTGCATGGACCGTGTTCATTTTAGAAATGGGAAAAGGAGGCGTCAGTGGCGAGGACACAGAAGTGACCACTGTGCCTCAGAGGACCTGCTGAGGGGGCACTTACCCGGAACAGGGCGAAGGCAGCATGGGTGTCCTGAGCCCGGGACACAGAGCCCACCTCGGTGTCCATGGAGACGGCCCATCTTTTCAGTGCTCAGCTCTGGGTCCATCCCGGGGGTGTGGTGGCCCGCCACAGCCAGGGAGCCCCTCCCACAGTGTGGCCCTCTTCCCGGTACTCCTCTCATGAAGCCAGCACTTTGCACAAAATGAGTCTGTCCCCATGACCTGCAGGGGTCTCCCTCACTCGCCCCCAGCCTCCTCAGCCCATATCTCCTGCTCCTCCTGGCCTCCTCTGGCCTGGCCCTGCTCCGGCCCGGCCCACTCATCCTCCGTCATCCATCAGTGTAGCCTGTGCTGGCCCTCAGACCTCAGTCCACACCCTACCTCAGCCCGTCCACTGCACACGGTGTTCCACTGCCATCATGGCTGGCTCTTCCAGGCCAAATCCCACGGGCCCGCCAGATTTACCACCTGAAGCCTCCCAGCAGCCCTCTCCCAGGTGCCCTTGCCTGTCCCGCCCTCATTTCTGTGCTCGCCATGGAGGTTTAACGTGTGCACATCCAGTCCATGGGACTGGAGGGGACCAGTGACACTGAAGTCCAGTCCTCTCCATGGACCCTCAGAGGTTCCCAGCCACAGGTTATGCAGCCCACATTGTCTTGTAAAACTCCTTCAGCTTTTACAGAGGAAAAGATAATAAGTGAGGAAAACAGCTTTAATACGGTCTCATCAGGGGATTTCCATATAGAAATTCAATTCAATTAAAGGACAAAAGAAAGTGTCTAACGTATCACTATTTTTTTAAGGATTTCTCATCTACATGAGAGTATTATATCTCGGTCATTTTATTACAGATAACAGTGTTAAATTATACTGCCATCCGAAGTCCTTCCTGCATGGTGCGGGTCCACGCTGAGGGGTGGGGTTAGGTGGGAAGGGGAGACTGACTGGGCTGCAGAGGGGGCACAGAGGTGGATTCAAGTCAGCCCAGTCTCTGGGTGAACACCTCAGCCAGACCTTCCCCAGGGCTTGGTCCTGAGAAGGTGGGAATGCGCCGGTCCCGGCTGTGAGAAAACAGCTGGCGGTGGAGGGCTCTGGAGCCCGCCGAGCTGTGAGGGAGCTGGGGCTGCTTTTCCTGGGGAGCCTGGGCCTGTGTGTGGGGTGGCGGGCCAGTGAAGGCCGCTGGGCTAGCGCATGAGGAGCTACCGCAGGTGGAATGGAGCTTATGTGCTGTGACTTACAGTGACCTGTTCTCTAAGTGTGTGTCCCCTTTCTGATGATTTTAGATGGTCGGTGGACTCTGGGACAGATTTCAAACAAGATCTTTCTCGGTGCCAGTGAGACCAATTAATTTGTAAGTTGTATCTTCTTCTCTGCTCCCCCCAGGTCTCCCACCATCGCCTGTTTACCAAGAGTTGACGCCTAGCCCCTGGGGAGGCCTGCCCAGCGGCCGCACACTCTGTCCCGGGCAGATGCTCAGGCCGCTGCCTCCTGGCGCTGCCTCTTACCCCTGCAGGCGGGACTGCTCAGGCAGCACCACCTAGCTCAGAGCGCCCCAAAAGTCTCCGAGCATCCCATGTGGCCGCGCCTGTGAGCTCCGGGGGTTAGACATCATTTTATCAAACTGTGTCATCGTCGTCTTTAGGGTTCTAGTAATGGCTTATCACACATCCTCCCACACAGGTAATCTTTTAGTCTAAAAGATGGCCCTTCTGCCTTTGAAAGCCCCTTTATTTTGGTTCCCACTACAACCCGCAGTCCCTGTGTGATCACAAGGGAGCCTGGAGCCAAAGGAAGACGCGTGGGCGGTTCGGGTTGGCACTAGGTCATGGCGTCAGCGAAGACGTGTCCCTGAGCAGGGAGCCAGTGTTCGGTGTTTGATTCTCGCTGACAGCTGCAGCTTTAAGGGATCCTATTTCACATTGCAGGCTTGTAGAGGCCAATTCCCAGAGGGCTCTGAAAACTTTGTTTTTATTTGAGGAAGAAATACTATAACAAGTGGAGGTTTTGTAAGTTAATGTCAGGAACTCAGCTGCTGTATTTTCTCTTTTCCTAAGTGTGAGTCCCAGTTCTAGAAGCAAGTACATTCCGCACTACACGTAAGTAATGTTCCCTCGCGTTCGGGAAGGACTAGCTGCACATCTCCATGGCAGTGCCTCTCTTCTCTGGCAGCTGTGCTTCATCCCAGAATTCTAATGTTTTCCTGGCACAGCGCCTGCTCAGGGTTAGGACTTTCCAGAGCCGTGCCGCAGATTTCAGTACAGAAAGTGCATTGCTGGTGGCCCGGTTCCCATCTCCCAGGACCTGCTAGCTCTGCAGCTCCCACCCTGCCTTGCCCAGGCCGCCTCCCTGGATCCAAAGACGGATCATCCCAGGGCTGCAGACGGGCCATCAGTTGTGCAGAAACAGCCTCTCTGTGCTCAGAAGCACAGGCAGCCTTCCCCTCTTTCTGGTCCAAACTTACATTCACAAAAGCCAGGCAACTCCTACTCTGAAAAAGAGAAATCTCTCCCTATGTTTTAGGCAAATTGTTCCATCATCATGCCTTTTTTCTTTTTCTTTGTCAGTTTTTTTTTTTGTGTGTGTGTGTGTGTTTTTTGCAAATAACCTGGTGAAGCTAGGACACTGTTTATCTGTTCCTTCCGTGTTTCTCAGAAAGAAACCTCTGCTGTCTTTTCTTTCCATGCTCCCAGCGGCTACGTGCAGTCCACCAACCCCGACGACATTGACAACCCCTATGGGGACATCACATCTCTGGCCCGACCTCGGAACTCCAAAGTCCTTTACTCAAAGACAAGCCGGTGAGTCCCCGTCGCTGCCCGTACTTGATCATTCAGGATGGAGTGGGCAGTGGTTTTATTATAAATGAACGTGGGTTGAGGAGGAAGGTGACTTTCCTGAGTGACTGAGTTCAAAGGAGGTTGTGTGTTGCTGAGGCTCCTCTCAGCCCTCGACGTGGGGCTGGGTCCAGAGAAGGGGCCAGCTGGTGATTCTCCCATCCTAGATAATAAAAGCCTAATATGCTAAGTGTCCAGGCTACTGGTTGCCATTCAGTCAATCAAAGTATAATATGCTAATGATATGCTAAGGCCCCTCAACCACTTATTATGACATGCACTGACCATCAGGGGGCAAACAGTCAACCAGTCGACCAGTAGCTCTGACGTGCAGATGCTCCGACCAGTAGGTTAGCTTGCTGCTGGGGACCGGCCAATCGGGACTAAGCGAGATGGGTTGGACACACCCTGGAGCCCTCCCATGGTCCCTCGATGGCTGGCCAACCTCCCAAATCTCTCTCTGGCCCCAGTGGGGTCTCTCAGCCTGGCCTGCACCCTCTTCTAGGACCCCTTTGGGGATGTTGAAGAGCCAGTTTCATCCCAATCCCGCAGGCCAGGCCGAGGGATCCCACTGGTGCACAAATTCGTTCACCTGAACTATAGTAACTTCTGAAAGGAAATGACTGCTGTTAAACAGAGTCATTCTAAAGTTTTAAGGGAAGGATATGGGACAAAGCAATTAAAAACATTCATAAAAATTTAATAATGGTTCTCCTTTGAAATACATGTTTGAATCTGAATAGTTTTATGAAGCATTTTTGCTACCAAAGTGGGGACATCCTCTTGGGTCATCTTCAAGGAGAGTGAAGAGCATCAGCAGCATTTCTCATGAAGGATGTGAGGTTGCTGTTAAAGTGAATGCATTTGGGAGGAGGCCATCCACTCCATTTTGCTGTTAATTCTGCTTTTTTTTTTTTTTTTTTAATTGTTATTACATGTTGTTTCGGTGACAGCTTAGTGGCTAGACAACCGTACACTTCACAAAGGGCCCCCTCGCTGTCCCCATGCCCACCTGGCCAGGGTGTGGGGTCACAGTCTTACTGGCTGTTTCCTGTGCTGAACTTGCCTCCCGTGCCTGGGGTGGGACTTCCCAGGTGTGCTTCTTGGTCCCTTCACCCCTCACTCAGCTCCCCCTCCCCCCATAAGTCTGTTCTCCATCTGTGAGTCTGTCTCCATTTTATTTGTTTGCTCATATTGTTCCTAGATTCCACGTGTACCTGAAGTCACAGGTGCTTGCCGTTCTCTGACGGCCTGACTTTACTGAGCACCAGGCCCTCCGGCGCAGCCAGGCTGTCGCCATGGTCAGGTTTCCTTCTGTTTGTGGCCGAGGGGTGCTCCAGGCACATGGCACCAGCCTCTCATCCCTCGCCTCCTGACGGCCTGTGCGCCTCACCGCCTGGCTGTTGTAAACAGCAACAGTGCACACAGCGTGCAAACGTTCTTTCGAATCAGCATTTTGGGGGGTTTTCAGATAAATTCCCAGAAGTGGGATTGCTGGGTCATAAGGCAGGTCCGTTTTTAATTTTTTGAGGAAACTCCATGCTGTCTTCCACGGCGGCTGCACCAGCCTGCAGTCCCACCAGCACTGCATTTCTCCGCGTCCTCCCAGCATGCCGTGTTTGCTGGTGTGTGAAAGACTATAGCCCTTCTGATGGCGTGAAGTGATACCTCGTGGTTTTAATTTGCTCTCTCTGACAATTAGTGACACTGAGCATTTATTTTCATACTAGAGGACTGATGCTCAAAATTCGTACACTCGGGGGAGGAGGGTGCCCCTCAGCCTGGCCTGACCCCTCTCACAGCCTGGAAGCCCCCTGATGGATCCCCCCACAGAGGAGGCCTACCCACCCGCTGCAGCCTTCCGGTGTGCGGCCTGGGCCTCCCTCTGCCGAGCGATCGTGGGCCGATGGTGGGGCCCCCACCAGTCACACTGCACCCACTTTGGCTGGGCTGGCACCAGTGGGTGTCATATCGTGATCATCCAGACAGGGGTTCCGCTGCTCGGCCGTTTGGCCGATTTGCACATTACGCTTTATTGTTGTAGACGTCTGTCAGCATCTGTGTGTCCTCTTTGGAGAGGTGTCTGTTCGGTCCTCTGCCCACTTATCAGTTGGGTGGTGTGGTGTGTGTTTTTGGCGTGGAGTCCTTTATACATTTAGGCTCCTAAGCCTTGTCAGATGGCTCGTCGGGGAATATGTTCTCCCACGCAGTAGTCTCTCTGGGTGCTGATGCTTTCCCTGTGTGCAAAGCCTGTGTGACTCGATGTTTGTTTGCTGTTTCCCTTGCCCTGGAGATTAATGAGGAGATCAGGCAAGAGCACCCAAGCTATTAACTGTAGTTACCCAGTTTGGGCACTAGAGGGCCTGCGAGGTTGCAGAGTTTCTTCCTGCATTTAGGTTTCAATTTTGAACATATTCTTCACCTTTTTAAACATTTATCTTCACTGCTGTCTTATGGATGGCCCTCATTTCACAAAGAAGTTCTTTCCGACGTTGTTATGAAATACATACAGATACAAACGTGGTGTTCTAGTTCCACACGGAGTAGAGTAATCAGTGAGTGCTGTGCCCGCCTCACTGGAGGAATAGTGTCTCAGGAATACCTCCACCCACTGCGTGCCCGCCCGCCTGCCCGCCCGCCTGCCCTTCCCCACAGGAGTCCCCTCCACAGACTGCCTGCTGAGCTTGCTCTGCGTGGGGACGTGCACACACGTGTGGGTCTCGAACCCGGTCTGCTGGTTCTGTAAGACACACCGAGCTGACGGCAGTGCCGTGCGGTGCCCCTTCGTGAAGCCAAATCCGCGCAGGTCAGCGTGGGGCTTAGTGCAGGCTCCATCCTGCCAGAGCGGGCATGGCCCTTCCTCCCAGTCTCATCTAGGCTTTCTGAGGGGCGCAATGTGAGGGGCGCTGTGTGAGGGGGTGTGAGGGGTGTGAGGGACGCTGTGTGAGGGGGTGTGAGGGGTGTGAGGGGCGCTGTGTGAGGGGGTGTGAGGGGTGTGAGGGGCGCTGTGTGAGGGGGTGTGAGGGGCGCTGTGTGAGGGGGCGTGAGGGGCGCTGTGTGAGGGGGCGTGAGGGGTGTGAGGGGCGCTGTGTGAGGGGGCGTGAGGGGCGCTGTGTGAGGGGGTGTGAGGGGTGTGAGGGGCGCTGTGTGAGGGGGTGTGAGGGGCGCTGTGTGAGGGGGCGTGAGGGGTGTGAGGGGCGCTGTGTGAGGGGGTGTGAGGGGTGTGAGGGGCGCTGTGTGAGGGGGTGTGAGGGGCGCTGTGTGAGGGGGTGTGAGGGGTGTGAGGGGCGCTGTGTGAGGGGGCGTGAGGGGCGCTGTGTGAGGGGGTGTGAGGGGTGTGAGGGGCGCTGTGTGAGGGGTGTGAGGGGCGCTGTGTGAGGGGGCGTGAGGGGTGTGAGGGGCGCTGTGTGAGGGGGCGTGAGGGGTGTGAGGGGCGCTGTGTGAGGGGGCGTGAGGGGCGCGAGGGGGTGTGAGGGGCTGCTGTGTGAGGGGGTGTGAGGGGCTGCTGTGTGAGGGGGGCGTGAGGGGGTGTGAGGGGCGCTGTGTGAGGGGGTGTGAGGGGGTGTGAGAGGGTGTGAGGGGTGCTGTCAGGGGGTGTGAGGGGCGCTGTGTGAGGGGGTGTGAGGGGTGTGAGGGGCGCTGTGTGAGGGGGTGTGAGGGGCGCTGTGTGAGGGGGCGTGAGGGGCGCTGTGTGAGGGGGTGTGAGGGGTGTGAGGGGCGCTGTGTGAGGGGGTGTGAGGGGGTGTGAGAGGGTGTGAGGGGTGCTGTCAGGGGGTGTGAGGGACGCTGTGTGAGGGGGGCGTGAGGGGACAGCCCATTCATGCTGATGCCCCGCAGGGCAGGCAGCGGGCGCAGGCCGCCGGCACGGGCGCTGCTGCTGGAGGAGCAGCCGGAGAGGCCGAGGCGGGGGGGGGGGGGGGGGGCGAGCGGAGCTGGCGCTGCGGGCGGAGGGCTCAGGGCAGCAGGGCCGTTGCACAGGGAGGGGCTGCTGTGGGTTTGCTTAGGAGCGGCCCGCAGCCCGCAGCCTCTCTCAGGCTGTGGCGTCTGGAGAATCCCCGGGACACTAGTGGGGGGTTCGGTCCGTCTGGGAAAGTGTCCGGTGCAGATTACACCGCACGGCACACACGTGTGACCTTCCAGGAAGGGGCACAGGAGCCACTCGGGCCCGGAACAGAGAATTCACTTACATCACTTCTCTCGGGAAGAAATGATTTCGTTCTGGAGCAGCCTTCTGGGAGGGACTAAGTGGAGACACGAGGTTCCCTGCGGGGAAAACTGGACCCGAGGTCAGAGTCTCGGTCCTGGGAGCCCCCGCACCTCCCGCTCAGCCCGCCAGATCTCACCGGCCGACCGCGCGACTGCGTGCTGGTGCCGCGGCTGCATCACAAACCAGCTTCTTCTCTCCCCCCTCTTCACCTCCTGCAGCTCTGCCAACATCCCCGGGTACATGGGGAAGGGCCATTTCACAGCCACCCACCCGGCAAATTCCCACGTGCCCGCCGCCATCCCCTCGATGGACTCCGAGGTGCGCCGGTGAGTACGGCCCCCTTCAGTGCAGGGCCCGGCCATTGCAGAGCAGTTGGCTCAGACAGGCGGCGCCTGGTGTGAAGAACGGGGTGCCGGCCCCCGGGCACGGAGCGTGTCCCCACTGCTGCGCCGGGAGCACCTGGAGCTCCAGCGCTCGCAGCTCCCCTGCACCCGCCGTCCGCGCCGCCTCCGTGTGGGCAGTGCGCTGTGGGAAGTCCTGTATTTTTAAGCGTTCTGCACACTGAGAACACGAGGTGGGAGGTTAGAGCCTTCGCCCCTGTTGTTCACGCTGCGGAGGAAGCAGCCACGCCGCCGGGAACCCGCCTCTGGCCCCGCACCGGGCGACCGGCTTTGGGAACGCAGAGCGCTCCTCGGGGCCGCTGCGGCCGGCGCTGGCAGAGTGCCCACCGGACAGCAGGTCTCGGAAAGGGGCCTCTCCTGTAGGCGGCTCAGTGGTGCCTCCACAGACGCTCACAGAGCGGCCCCTCTGGGCCGCACATTCCCAGCACTGAGCCAGGGGCCGAGCAGAGACAGTCCTGCCTCCCAGAGCCGCCAGCTGCTGGGGAAGGCAGACGGCAGGGGGCAGTGCCTGGAGCATTCGGGCGGTGCCGGAGCCGGCGGCGCGTGGAGTGGGGAGAGTGGGATGTAGCCGAGACCTGGAGGGACTGGTGAGTTAGCAGGCCCTTCAGGCCGAGTCCGAGCGCCTGCCAGGGACTGCGGGTCTCCCAGAAAAGCAGCGCTGGAGGGTGTGGGCCAGGTGCAGTCGGCGGCCGCTCCCTCTCACCGGCTCAGGCGCTCCTTGGCTAATGCCCATGCTTTCCTGCGGGTCAGCCATGGGGTGTGGCCTGGAGTTCACAGGAATCAGACCGGTTTGCAAGGACCTCACAGCCCACAGGGGCAAGAACTAGCGGCACCTCCCGGTGCTGGGAGAGAGGTGTGGTCACTAGGGGGCCGCAGGAGGCCTCCGGGATGTGACTCCCACAGGGACCCTCGGGCTGGCCATGGTCTCACAGGAGCAGGGTTGGACTGCCCGTGGGCAGGGCATCATGGCCCTGGGGAGCCCACCGCTGGGCCGTCGTGGCCAAACCCTGGGTCTCCAGAGGGCACTGCCAGCCCTGCAGCCCCGGTGCCACTGTGCGTGGTGCGTCCCCACCATGAGTGGCCTCGGCCAAGGGCATGGCTGCTGAGGAGGGTGCAGTGATTGAAGGGAGTCAGCACGACACACAGGATGGACGCCAGGCCCAGAGGTGCCCCCTCTGAGTCCCTCCTCCCTCAGCCCCCACAGAGACTGGGAAGCCTGGGGCTGTTCCGCTGCCTCTGGAGAGCCTGCCCTCCTTTTAGCCAGGGTTTCTGTATTCTTGGCACCTACTATAATTCTGGACACAGATTCTCAATCAATGCAACTGATTGCACCCCGGCCAGTGTGGCTCAGTGGTTGAGCATCGACCTGTGAGCTAGCAGGTCACAGTTCGATTCCCAGTCAGGGCACATGCCGAGTTTCAGGCTCAATCCCCAGTGTAGGGCCTGCAGGATTCCCTCTCATCACTGATGTTTCTGTCTCTCTTCTCCCTTCCTCTCTAGAATCAATAGAAATATATTAGAAAAACAAAAGTGATTGCAACGTAACGCTTGTAATGTGATAAATGAAACAGTGCACACAATGACTAATAACTCCCCGTTTCTCTCTGACATTCTCTGGTGTGTGGGCACCTTCACTTGAGGGAGACGAGGGTGTGTCTTTTGTGCTTGTTTGATGTGTTCCTTTCTTTCTCCTCTGTCAGTGTCTTGAGGAAAGACATGGCCGTCACCATGTTCCGTCACCAGGCACCGCTGTCTAAGATGGTCACAACGGTGAAGCCCTGCAACCCCTTCAATAACAGGAGGCAAACTATAGGCTACTGAAGAGCTGCCGTCCAGCGAGCGAGCGAGCGAGCGAGACTACCCCTCAGCCGTGGGAGGGCTGTGCTGGGCCCGGCGGGGCCCGTGGAATAAAAGACCGTGTGCTCTCCGAAGGCGACTGAGGTCCCATGCCCTTCTCTGACCAGGCAGAGGGTCGGGGCAGCGGCTGGGGCATGTGCTGGCCCAGCCCGGCACAGCCGAGGGTTCCGGAGGCGGTGGGCGGCCAGGCTCTGAGAGAAGTCCTGGTCGCGTGGGGCTGCCCAGCCTCCCGGGCCTTCCTGACCAGGGGAAAGTGGGCTGTAGCCGGCAGACGTCATGGGAGGTCGTGAAGGCAGAGTGTCCAGACCAGAATCCACCTGTTGTCACTATTGACCGAGAGAAACGTGCTCCTGCCCCCGGGGTGCCGCATGCGGGGACAGGCCTTGAGGGAGGATGGGCCCTCGGGCTCCAGGGACCAGCGCCCCAGGCCCCATGGAGGCCACGGCAGAAATGACCACACACATCCACTGTGGCCTCAGCCAGTGTCCTGGCTGAGACTTGATCCAGCAGCACCCACGCCTGCCTCCTGCCCTCGGCCCTCTCCCATGCAGGCTCCCCACTCATGGCTCCTCTCCGTGGGTGAGCGTCCAGGGATGACACACAATCAGGCGTGTCGGGGTTCGGCACCTGGGAGAGACAAACGCACCCTAGCAGCGAAGAGTTTACAATGTCTCTTCGACAACGTGGCGCGTGGGCAGTAACACGCCAGCCGCTGCCCGGGACAAGAGGGGGACATGAGCAGATGGATCATTTAACCCCCTCATACAGGATCAATGGCGAACACGGAGACAGCTGTTTGGAAATAGGCGGAAAGGCAGGTGCTGGTCTCACCGGGACGCGAGTTGCTGCTGCAGCGGCTCTAAGTGCAGGGTTTTCTCAGGTTCCCAGAGACTCGGGACTGGTTGGTGGTGGCAGTGGAAGGAACATCTTCCAAAGAAGTGAAAAATTGAGAAGAAAAAACGCATTGCTAACAGAAACACACCACCCAAGCTTTAGGACAGCTGTGGGGGAAGTATGTCAGACAAAAGGTTGACATGTTTATTATAAAACGGTCCATGATTGAAACACCGCCCCAACAGGAACAAGGCAACAGGTACCCACAACCACACAAGTAACATGGACGGTGACCGCCGGCTGCCCCTCAGGAGTCTTGGAGCCAAACCTACCCCACAGACGCCACTCCTGCGCCAGGCACTATGCCCCGGGCTCTGCCAGGAGCGTGTTAGACTTTGCAACTTGATGTTCAGGGTTTCGCCAGCGAGCAGCCACCAGGAGCACGTGTTTGCACAAAGAAGCAGAGGCGCCATAGGAACGAGCGAACGCTCATCAGGAGGAATTGACCCTGCTGCCCGCGGGCACGGAGCGCAGTGCCTGTGTCAGGAGGCTCCAGGTGGAGGTCCGTGCCCCAGAGGCTGCGGGCTCTGGGCCCGCGCACCCCGAGGCTGGGCGCGGCTGCTGCCGGGCACTTGTCTGTCTGCTGGAGCCTGGCTTTGGGCGCGCGGCTGCTGTTCTCACAGCGCCCCCTGCCTGCCCCCGACAGACGCTGCCCGCTGCAGGCACCTGCCAGCCGCTGCTCCTGTCCCCAGCCCAGGAAGGGGCTGTCAGGGGGGCTCCACTTGTCACCTGCGCACGAAGCAGCCTGACTTCCTGGCACTCGCACTCTGGACATGGAGCCTGGGGTGTGGAGCGGTCTGTGCGGAGGGGCAGGCAGAAGGGGACGGGTCCCGGGCTGGTGGAGAACTCAGCCTGGACAGTCTGGGAGGGTCTGTGAGGAGAGAGCCCCAAGGCTGAACCTGGGCCCCCACAGAGCGGAGAGCCGCAGGCCAGGTCCCCATCGCCGGAGGAGCACGCACTGGCAGAGCAGACTAGAGGAGACAGTGGGGGCTGGGTTGGGGGTAGCCAGGGCTGTGGCCCACTGAGCGACCTAGGGGCTCATTTCTGCAGATGGGGGGGAGGTGTTTCCAAACCCCACTCGGCACGCTGGGTGAGCGCCCCTGCAGTTAGGGGGTCAGGCCACCCTCTGTACTGGGTCCCCTGAGCGGACAAAGCAGCAGGTCTCCCCGCGGGTCCTCAGAGTCGCAGCTGTGAGTGGCCGCCCTGCGTGCTCGCCGCGTGTCAGGAGGCCCCGGGAGGGGCAGGCGCCAGCTCCAACACAGGCCCACACCGAGTTCTCCGGGCACAGCGTCTCCCACACGGGGCCCAGCCCGGCATCAGGAACCCTGGCCCCGGCCCCTCTGCTCCCCAGGTCCAGGGTCAGGCTGCGTGTCCGCCTCCAACGACCTCCACATGCAGGGCCAGCAGGTGAGCGGGGCGAGTCACGTCTGCAAAGGGCAGGCTCTGCGGGGGCGCAAAGGGCAGGCTCTGCGGGGGCGCGGCCCCCAGACCAGGAGACCAATGCGGCGCCCTCTGCCAGGCGGTCAGATATGCCAGCTGTGTCGTTGCCCTGGCGACCTGAGAGTGGAGCAGCAGACATGGGTCCGAACCGTCTGCGAGACTGGGAGCTGGGAGGACCGCTCTCTCAGACCTGCCCCCACTGCCTCTTCCAATCGCTCCTGACCGCGGTGCAGCCGGAGGCCCAGGTTCCGGGCTTCATGGTTTGCTGTTTACAGGGCATGTCAGCTGTTCTCTGGTAAAGGTCGCGGAATGTTAATACGCGTTAGAGCGGGGGCAGAGCCTCAGCGGGGCAGTGTGCAAGGGGCGGGGGGGGGGGGGGGGGGCGGGAAGATAGGCGGGGGCCTACGGGATTTACAGCCGGCCTAGTCCTGGAGCAAGGGCCTGCACACGGGCCCCTGAGAACCAGGGACAGGCCAGCGATGTCCCAGGCAGGCGTGGCCTGACCGGCCTCACCCGGTGCTGGTGCTGGGACAGCCAGCGGCTCCTGCAGGAGCCTGGGAGGGGGCCTGGGGCCTCCTCTGTCCGTCCCCAAGGGGCTGTCGGGGGGGCCACCTCCACGTGGGACCCCCCCCTGCTGCACACGACGACTCAGTGTCCCGAGGGCACTGGCCTGCCAGCTGCTCAGCTCTTGGCCCCAGAGCCATGGAGGTGCCCCTGCCCCTCGGATGGGAGCCAACCTCGGCACCTTGTCAGAGTGCAGCCCCAGGACGAGGAGAGAGGACACAGCCCCGGCACATTGAAACGTTCCGCACAGAACCAGCGCCTGCTGAGGACCTGCCTCCGCTGACCCAGCTCCCCGGCCAGGGCGTGTGGACCCTGCGCAGCCACAGCCCTCCCCTCCCCGCCCCCCACCCAGCGCCTGGCCGGCCTGCTCCCCCTGGAGCCCTGCAGCCAGGCCTCCGGGACTCGCCCAGGCGCCGAGGCAGCAGCGGGGAGGCCCTGCCTCTGAGGAGATTGTTCCAGAAGCTCCCGGGGACTCCATGGGGCCATTTGCCCAGCTGTGCACAGCCCGAGAGGGAGGCCAGAGGCCAAGGCCAGCCTGGAACCTGACCTGACCGCGTCTGTCCAACTTCCCCAAGTCCCTGCTCCCTGGGCCTCCGCAGAAAGGCGATTTTGTGTCTAATAAATTGCTTCCACCGGGCGGAAAATCACTTTGCGTTATCTCCGCCATCGTTGGCTCCTGCGCCTGTAATGGACTCGCTGGTTATCCGGGAGTCGGCAGAGCTCAGTCCACACAAAGCCCTCCCGCCGGTGATCCATGGGCTTGGAGGGGGCTCGCCGGCCGCGGCGTAATTTTCCTCATTCGTCTTAATTTTTTGTAATCGTTTTTGTGAAGAGGGTATAATGTCAGGCGTGCTTCCCGGCTGACAGATCCAATCTGCAGGTAATTACCATACGGAACTGGCTCTGCGGCGCGGAGAGAATTTAATTTACCAGACATCCCCGAACAATGCGCTCCAGGAGATAGGGGGGTTTAAGTTTTTGAGAAATTAAATTTTACCATTTAACATGATTACTTATGTTGAACATCATTAACTCGCTTTTTTAAGTGTTTGAAGTAATTACCGGTGCACCGGCTGCGTCTGAACCCAGAGCCGCCTTTGGCACGGGTTAAGGACCCATGAAATGGGAAGGGAATCCCACGGCCTCCCTCCTCCCATCTTCCCAAACCGCGCTCAACGCCCACAGAGCCGCCAAGACCCCTGCAGGAGGCGCCCTCCTGGATGCTGTGACGGGCGTGATGCTGTGATGCTGTGACGGGCGTGAAGCTGTGATGGGTGCGATGTTGTGACGGGGATGATGCTGTGACGGGCGCGATGCTGTGACGGGGATGATGCTGTGACGGGGATGATGCTGTGACGGGGATGATGCTGTGATGGGCGTGATGCTGTGACGGGGATGATGCTGTGACGGGCGTGATGCTGTGACAGGGATGATGCTGTGACGGGCGTGATGCTGTGACAGGGATGATGCTGTGACGGGGATGATGCTGTGACAGGGATGATGCTGTGACAGGGATGATGCTGTGACGGGGATGATGCTGTGACGGGCGTGATGCTGTGACGGGGATGATGCTGTGACGGGGATGATGCTGTGACGGGCGTGATGCTGTGACGGGGATGATGCTGTGACGGGCGTGATGCTGTGACGGGGATGATGCTGTGACGGGGATGATGCTGTGACGGGGATGATGCTGTGACGGGGATGATGCTGTGACGGGCGTGATGCTGTGACGGGGATGATGCTGTGACGGGGATGATGCTGTGACGGGGATGATGCTGTGACGGGGATGATGCTGTGACGGGGATGATGCTGTGACAGGGATGATGCTGTGACGGGCGTGATGCTGTGACGGGGATGATGCTGTGACGGGCGTGATGCTGTGACGGGCGTGATGCTGTGACGGGGATGATGCTGTGACGGGCGTGATGCTGTGACGGGGATGATGCTGTGACGGGGATGATGCTGTGACGGGCGTGATGCTGTGACGGGGATGATGCTGTGACGGGCGTGATGCTGTGACAGGGATGATGCTGTGACGGGGATGATGCTGTGACGGGCGTGATGCT